ATATTTAAATATGACTGAACTCATAATAAAAAAGTCGTTAATGTACTCTAAAAATGTGATGTGTTGAATATACTAAACCAAGTTATGTCAGCTGGTTCCACTAAACTGAGCTGAGTTTTAAAAGCAATTTACGCAACTCTGTTCAATGGAACCAGTTGACGTAACTTAGTTTAATAAATGCAACATTTTACTTTTTAGAGTGTGTGTAACATATCTTTAACTTTCCTGATTATTGTGACCAGTTTAATAACTTACTTTTTAAAGTAATCTTCTTATCAGTCCAATAAATTTTTGCCAAAGTCATTTTCTATGAAGGTATTTTTACTTTTTTTTGTTGTTTTTTTTTTCAACTTTATGCACCTCTGCTAAATTGCAAGAAAATCCACAAATTTTCATTAAGACTCGCTGAACCGATGTGTTTGTGTTGTGTCACATTTGTCAGGCGAGTGAGATACTGGTGTCAACGTGATAAAAATGTAATTTCAGATAAATCAAATCTGAAAGTTTATTTTGCAATAAATTAAATCAAAGATGTAAAGATGCGAGGGGGTTAAAGGAGCCATAACAAACATGTTTCTGTGAAGTAACTTGAATTTAACCCTTGWTATAATCTAAAAACCACCTCCTACTGACCTGTCCGGCATTTTAATCCTCTGCCTTTTTTTTTCCACAGGGTGAAAAGGGAGACATGGGTGAAAAGGTAAAGCAATAAYTTTTCTTTCCAGCTATAATTCTTAGCATCCCACCGTGCGTTACAACAGCCTTCTCTAAGATGRCTCCCACTGAAGATCTGGATGTGAGAGAATCTGTGATTAAATGAGTCATAAAACTGCACCCAGTTTTCTCCGAGCATTGACCTCTCGCTGGTTCTTCAAAAAGGGGGGAAAATAGCTTTATTCTACCCCATTCCTTGATTCTAATGGTGCCCTTTAACTGGCTTTTGTTGGAGTAGGAGGTGTGAACACTGACCAAGTGGATGGGGATGTGGCGGGAAAGGACTGGTGATTCATTGTGCTTCCTCGACCACAAAATTGGCCTTCGGGGCGGTTGTTTCGGGTCCAATCAAGGCTTATTCTCTCGATCGCCAACATACCTGGTACACTGTAATAATGTGGCTTTGTGAAAACAAGTCTCATAGCAACCGCCGCTCGCACGTTATGGGTGTCCTGCAGAGAGTTAGCTGGATGTGAATAACAGCTCGACGTGCAGTTACTGAAACTGCACCCAGCAGATTCTAATGATGCAGGAGCATGTCGTTTCAAAAAGTCATGAGCATAAGTTAGTGGTCTGAGGAGGAAGACTGCTTTCCAGAGTTTCAGTTTTTGAAAGCCGGTGTTCGGGCCGACCCTCACACAGTACACTGATTGTATAATCATTAAATTGTAGCTGCAGTTCTTCCCTGTAAGAATAAATTTTAACTTCTCAAGACTTTTTCCCCTTGCATAAGTGTCGGCTTGTTTTAAAGAGATCTTTAACTAGTTGTAACATTAGCAATTATTTGATAAACATTTAAATTAACTCAAAAACAAAGACTGTAAAAATACCATGGGCTGTTTAGTTTTTATAAATTTTAAGTAATGTCACATGGATGGGGCCTTAGCTTAGCCTGTTAGCTTTCATGTTAGCACCTGAGCTAATACTAACACACACATATGGCAATTTATCGTTAGCTAATTATGAACTAACACCACATATTTATTACTAATATGGCATTCTCGAGCCAACATTATTAGCTTGGGAATAACTATTTTGCCATACATGTATTAGCTTGAGTGCTAACGCGAATGCTAACAGGCTAAGCTGACATTCTCCTTCCATGAAGCAGCTCTGTTGTCTCCATTCGCATTTTCAGTTTCAGGCTGAGTCRTTTCTTCATTCTTCTGTCTGCTAACATGCACTGGTTTCATTTAAAGAGCTGGGGTTTCATTTATAAAGGATTGCGTGGAAACCATACTAAAAGTGAACGTACGGCCAAAAGGCGGAAATGGCGTATGCCAAAAAAAATTCAGATTTATAAAACAGTGCGTACGCACGTTTCTGCGCATCTTTTGTCCTTTCAACCATTCAACCCACACTCAACCATAAACAGTCAATGTAAAGTACCTCATGAATGTTAAGATG